ACTTAGTAAGTGCTCAGTAAACTTCAATTGGGAAAAAAAGCTAGGCTCCATCCTAGGAGCAATTTGATTTTTGTTTATTATTATTATTTGCTCCAATATGTAATAACTTCCCTGTTTCCTGGGAAGAGACCCTAGGAAAGGATGGAAAAAGTGGAAGGAAGGCTGCCGGGTTCTGTGCCTCTGTGCCCAGGAGGAACATATGTCCTAGGTTTTGGGAATCAGGATTTCCATCTCTTCCGTATCTAGGGAACCACAAGGCACGGGCTCTTCGATTCTGTTGTCTTTCTTCTGCTTTTCTCTTCTTTCTCGTGCTTTACAAGCTAAACTGGCAAATGTAGTGAGGAAGGTTATAGGGTGAGTGGTCCCTCTGTGAATTTAGGTCTGTGCATCCCTAATGCCTTGAAACTTTCCATTTTTTGGACGAGATGGTACCCCTGTCTCCTGGGAGAGGGGTCCCGATGGGCAGGAGTCATTGTCTGAGCTCTTCCTAGCACCTCACACCACATCTGACACAGAGTAGGTTTTCAGTAGACGTTTGTGATTCAATTAATTAACTCACGGGGTCCCGATGTTCTATCAGTCCCCCGTTCCTGTTTTGGAGGGAAGCTACTGATGAGTTCCCCCTGGAGATGGTACCTCAAGGCAGAGGGGTGGAAAATCCCTTTCTCTCAGTTCAGCTAAGACCAGGGTAGAGTTTTTGAGAAGTACCCTTTCCTTGTAATCCAAGTGCAAGCAGAGTAAACACAGAGTATAGAAATAGATGGTGGATCTCGCACTGTGACTCAGCGGCAGACTGTTCTCAGCTTGGCTGAGCCAGCTCTGTCCTCTCCTCACCCCCTTCTCTCTGCATTAAGTTCTTGGGTTACCAGCCTGGGGTGGGTTTGCATTGGCAGATTCTCAGGACTTGTGGGATTCTCTGTTCCCCTAGGACAGTCTGCTTCCTGATATTGTGCCCTTGATGTGGGAACGCACTCCCACAATTCCTTCTCGGCCTCAAGCCATCTGTTGGTAACCCTGATGGTGGTTATTGTTAATTCAAAAAAAATTTTTTAATGTTTTTGAGTAGAAAGTGTTCACAGTGTACTAAAAATTTACATATACAATGAGATATACATTGAAGAATCTCCCTGCCTTGTACTCCAGAAACCCAGCTCCTACTCCCCTGCCAAAGATAACTTTTATTACAGTAGTTCATTGGCTATTCTTCCAGAGCTTCTTTACGCATATATGAGGAATATTTGTGGAGAAGCAGCGGGGGATACTTGACACTTTATACGAGGTCCACAGACTAGGGTCTAACGAGGTGGTTTGGTGTCTCTAGCACAGCGTTTCCCAACTTCAGGGGATAAAGTTTGCTCAAGTGTTTTGTTGCCCTACTTAATTTCCAGTAACAGCTTCAACCTTCTCCAGCCTCCTACTTGGGAGGATGGAGAGGAGGAGACACAACCCAGTGCGTCTACATATAATTTTGAAAATGCACGTGTGTTTTGTGTGTTTAAAAATCAAGATACTGGGGCTTCCCTGGTGGCGCAGTGGTTGGGAGTCCGCCTGCCGATGCAGGGGACGCGGGTTCGTGCCCCGGTCCGGGAAGATCCCACGTGCCGCGGAGCGGCTGGGCCCGTGAGCCATGGCCGCCGAGCCTGCGCGTCCGGAGCCTGTGCTCCGCAACGGGAGAGGCCGCAACGGTGAGAGGTCCGCGTATCGCAAAAAAAAAAAAAAAAAAAAAAAAAAAAAAAAAAAAATCAAGATACTGAAAAATAAAAATCCAGGTACTGTATATTTCAGTTCAAAGGGCCTCTTGGAAACCAAATCATAGTTATGACAGAACAGCAAGTTAGAGCAGATTTGACAAGTGAATTTGTTGCTCTCGTGTAAATAAAAAATACATATATTTTCTCTTCCGTTCTCACAAGGTAGCACATTATACACACTGCTCTGCATCTTGCTTCTTTTTGACTTAACGTAATGTAGATATTTTCGTATCATTACTTAAGAGCACTTCCTTATTCCCTTTTTTTTTTTTATGGCTACTTAGAACTTCATTGTACGAATGAACCAGGTTTTTATGAGCACTTTATTGGTGCACATTTACGTTGATTCCATATTTCACCGCAGCGGAAGTGCTGTACATGTATGTATTGACCTTGTCTAACTCGTAACATATGCAGACAGAAATAAGACAGGATTTTGTAAGGAACAGGGTAGCTTACTGACTTACCCACCCAGGACAATGGAATGTTGACTTAAATGATCAGCTAGGGTCTATTCTGTTCTGATAATTCTGTACAACAATACCTAGTAGAGAGGGTTTTGAACATGGAATTCTCTTAACAATACCTGGTTATAGTCTATTACATTTAACATATACAAAGCAGATTGCCACACCTGTGTCTGGTTCCGCTTCAGTAAAGGACTGAGGACCACTCTTATCAGTGTGGTGGGAGCACCTCTTCATAGCCTGCCTCTTTATTCTTATCCATCACCATCTTGCTGCCCCTGGTATGCCTGCTGCTAGCTTCTGGGTCCTTTTTGCTGTGCCTTTGTCTTGGCAGTTGCAACAAGTTCACTCTTTAATCTCTGCTCCTTTATCAGCTGATTTCTACCTCAAGCTTTGTCTTCCTGTAACGCTCTGCAGAATTGTGGCCTTGGCCGGGGCTTGCTGCAGTCCCGGCTGTAACTTAAGGGTGATGTACCGTTCCTGTCACTGCAGTCTGCAGCCTTTCCTCCCTCCCTGGTAGGTAGGGGAGGAGATCCCTTGGATTCCTCAGTTGTGGCGCATCACGATGCTCCCGGGGAACCACCTGTCTAATCACGTCCAGCCCCAGTTCACGATTGTTACTCCTCCGCCTTGCTCCAAGTAGGTTTCCATAGCTCTTGACCCTGAAGGCTTACCTGTACTGACGACCTCTGTCTCTCTTTCCATTTTACCTGAAGCGTCTACATGAACACAGTGTCCTCCCAGCGTGGCTTCCTCGGGACACCAATTCCATAGCCTGCATTTTAGTCGCAGAACCGTGTTGACCCCTTAACATTGTAAGTGCCCGAGATAATGCTTAAGAAACTCTGTTAGTAGTAGCCCATTATGAGGATTTGTTTTTCCACTTTTTTTTTTTTTGCGGTACGCGGGCCTCTCACTGCTGTGGCCTCTCACGTTGCGGAGCACAGGCTCCGGACGCGCAGGCTCAGCGGCCATGGCTCACGGGCCCAGCCGCTCCGCGGCATGTGGGATCTTCCCGGACCGGGGCACGAACCCGCGTCCCCTGCATCGGCAGGCGGACTCTCAACCACTGCGCCACCAGGGAAGCCCTGGTTTTCTACTTTTTGATGCAGCTTGGCTTCTTCACCTATGGTTTTGAGACTTCCCAGTGGCCATGAAGACTTTGTTGGGAGGTGCTTCTCTTTCCAGCAGCCAGAAGCAGCCTCCCTTCCTCTTCCTGTTTCCGGGCCTCCCTCTGGGGCTGCCCACTTGATTTCTGTGTCCCGTCTGAGCGACACCTCTGGCCTCGAAGACCAGCCGTGACCCACCTGCTCTTGGCCCAGTGACCGATGAAGGCTCCCCTGTCTCTGTCAGACCCACCCACATCTGGGTGAACCCCTGGGTTCTGTGGATGGGATGGCCTTCTGAGAGCCTGCCATTCACTTGGATCTCAAAATGCAGTGTCCACCACAGATACATTTTCTGTCCTGGCAAAAGGAAGGTATCTTCCTTGCTCAGCATGAGTTTTCAGCTTTCCAGGGCTCTTTCTGGTGCAGAAATTTAGGTCATGGATGTTTCTTCTTCTTATGACTCAGTCTTACTGTGTCTATCTTCTGCACATTGTGGCATCTTGTTGTAACTTCCTGTTTATCCTACAGCGACACGTGAGAATGCATTTTTTCAGGAGTTAAAACCCAGCAGGTGTTGTCAGAAGCTTGAGTGTTTGCTCTTTAGTAACCGTGTCCGGTGGGATGCGTAAATGAAATTATTGGAAGTCCTGAAGACTTTTTTTCCTGGATTCTTGGTTTTAGCTTCCTCACCTTATTCGGATCAAATTAAGGAAACAGCAGTAGGGATAGTCCCATGATTTCTCTCAGGGAGAAGGAGATCTGGTGCCAATACCGCCATTTTTTATTTTTATTTTTTAAGCACTTAAGGTTCTTTGCACTTACCTCCGGAGTGCATCGGTTAACCTGCTAGCTCTCCACACCCCTGCCCCCAAGGATGTAAGCTCCTTGAGAGCAGAGACCTCGCCTGTCTTGTTCACTTCTGCAAGCCTGGTGCTAGAACAACGTCTGGCTCATAAAGAGCAGCTGAATAAATGTTTGTGCTGGATAAATAAAATCCATCTGTTCTCCTTTGAAGGACTTTTAAGTCCCTTTGGGATGGGCAGTAAAGGCACCGAAACCATGGCACCAAGCTCAATGTCTCCGATGGATTTGGAGGCGAGACTGGGTAGGGTTATGCAAAGAGATGTTGAATTTGCAGAAGGTCTGGGTTTGAATCTTCACTCTGCCACTGACTTATATGGGAGACCTCTCTGAGCCTCAATTTCTTTATCTATGCACGAGAGATAATAATTGCTCCCCAACATGCACACATACTTTACAATCCTTGGGTGAAGAATGTATGAAAAATGCATTTTAAACCGTAAAGTCTGCAAATGAGGGGGAATTACAAAACCATGGCCTTTCTCTTCCTTATTTTTTGCTGCACATGAAGCCAGGTGCCCCTGCCTGCCTCCACCTCTGTTAGAATTGGCATCTCCTGTGGCTGCCCTCTTGAGATGCTTTATCTGTAAAAGTGAACTAAGGAGCAGATGCCTTCTAGGAGTTCCATCCGCCCCAATTCCCTAATGACCTTGGTGGGGGGGGGGTACTACTGGGGCCTAGGAAAGCACACTTCCGGCTCAGGCCCGGCCTCGGCCCCTGTGCCACTGGTGAGCACGGCAATTCACCAAGCATCTGTGAACTCCAGGAGCTATAGCATCAAGGGCTGCTTGACAGTTTTTCTCTCTTTCCAGGAGGCTGCTGAAGAGTGAACTTGGATCGTTCATTACAGACTATTTTCAGGTAAGCTGTGTGGGTCTGAGCTTGTGTTATATTGTGCACGTGGGTACATGTACCTAAAGGAGTGACTGATACTGTACACCTGGACATGCCTTCAACATCCAAAATTATGTATCCTGAGTTCCTACTACGTGCTGGGCATTGCAGTGCAGCCCTACTGCGTGCCGGGCACTGCAGTGCTTTGGCAGTGGAGGCGTACAGGGCAAGCGTGGTCCCTGCTCTTATGGGGACTATAACCTCAGGCAGCGGTTCTCAGGCTTTTTGGTCTCAAGGACCCCGTTACGCTCTTAAAAATGATCATTTATTTGGGTCATCTCTATGTATTTTCACCATATTAGAAATTAAGCCCGAGAAAATTTACTGTGTGCCTTAATTCATTCAAATAATAAACCTACTACATGTTAGCATAAATGGCATTTTTATGAAAAATAACTTTCTGAAAATAAAAGGATAGGAGAGTGGTATTGTTTTATATGTCTGCAAATCTCTGCCTGCAGACTGGATTCTCATATCTGCTTCATAGTCAGTCTATTGTGATATTGCCCGTCTGGAAAATATTGCACCTAGTCTCTGGAAAATTCGACAGTACACTCAACGGAGGATGCAAGGCAAATAACAGCTTAGCGTTGTTAAGGAAATCGTTTTGACCATGTGGAAAAGGTCTGGGTGATCCCTCAGGGGACCCCAAACCACACTCTGAGAACTGCTTTCCTAGTGCCATTCCCTCCCACTCCGTGTATGGTACCTAAGTGAGTGTAATGCTATGTCCCTTTAGCCAAGTTCTTTCTTGTCACTAAGCCTCTCGGTCTGTTCTGTTAAAGATAGAATTGAATCAGATAAGCTAACATCCCTCTTGTCTAGACACTGTTGTTATGCAGCTAATGAGTTCAAGATTCCAGGTGCAGTCAGGATGGTTTCTAATCCACTGACACGAGATGCCTTCCTGACTCCATCCAAAGACACGTGGTGGGAAGTCCCCACACAGATTTTTTCAATAGTCAGTACTATAGTACTGCAGTATCCATGGTTGGTTTTATCTGTGGATACAAAAAACCCTCAGATACGGAGGGTCAACTATAAATTATATGCAGATTCTCGACTACACGGAGGGTTGGTGCCCCTAACCCCTCACGTTGTTCAAGGGTTAACTGTATACATATTTATTATTCTAAAGTGTAATCCATCCCTTTTAACGGGAAGGTGACATAAAAATCCATAATAAATTGGTTTCGGGTTGGTGATATTATTCTGTATCCCAGGTGAGCATACTTTTAAGACAGTTTAAAGAGTTTTTAGCTTTTAAAAACAACACAGGCATCCTTCCATTTTCTTTCCATAAATCAGGAAGCTTAAACTTTTATGTGCACTTTAAAAGAATGACAAATGTCAGTTGTTTCTCTCTCACATGCACACACACACCCACACACGCCAGAAAACGACCACTTGGCCACTCTATATCTGGACAAAGCAAGACCCAACAGAAGCCTGGAATTCAATCAGGTCAAATGTCTCAGCTGCTTGAAAGAAAACCCCTGTCCAGGGAGAGACAAACAAAGATTTAAAAAGGGATAATTAGTCACAAATGTGAATCATTTCAGTTGCCCTTGACTCAAAGGTCAGTCTTGTCCTCACTCTCTTCTCTTGCTGTCTCTAGTGATTGAGTTTTAAATCCAACTACAGAGAAGTGGTTTTTCAGTCCGTCCTGGTGAAACCTGCCAGCCCAGCTGCCTTCCTCATTGACATTTAAAATAGACAGGGTTCTGTGTGGTTTCAGTCAAGTTTGAAATGTCAGTCATGTCTTGGCTTTGGGGGCTACCCCTCGGATGGGTGGGGGAGGGCATTTGGGTGGGGATTTATTTATCTGGAAAGCCCTGAGGTTTGGGGGGCAGTAAGTGCTGCTTACAAAGTATGCCAGACACTTAACAGCTGGTAACCACATGTCATTTTTTTATCGAGTGCTTAATTGGAGAAACTGCTTGGTGAATGTTGAGTCTCTTTCTGCGGGTGTGGGGTATGAACTGGTTTTCACAGTTTTGAATCTGGGTTTTTCCTTAGTTTAAGGTGCTAGACTGGAGAAAAGCCTATCCTAGACACTGTTTATTAAAATGTAGGTTTTAAGTCTAATGGGGGCACAGAGCCTTTTTAAAAATGTATTTGGTTCTCCAGTCCCTAGAAATTACCTAGCACATAGTAGATGCTCAATAAACTTTATTGGGAGAGAGGGAGGGGCTGCCCACCACAGATACATGAGAGATTTTAGGAGTTGCACACAATGGTATTAAATAACATTTGCCTTTGTGGTGTTTCCCTTCCTTATTTTCCTTTAGCACTTCTGATCGTGCCAGGGAGAGTCTTCGTTTGCGCCCTTGTGTCTGTTACACTTCTGCAAGACTTGGTGATCTCTCTTGTTTAAGGAAGAGAGAGCAGGTTTCAAAATTAGCGTCTTCAGCTAGAAGCAATGTCTAATTAGGATTACATAACATTTTGTTGACATTGAGTTGATCCTTGAGTTACATTCTACTTATGGTAAATGGTGTTGCTGTGGTTTCTTTTATAAACATATTTATGTTTTCAAAAAGTGGATTGATTGAAGAAAAGTAGTATACAAAGAATAATAGTGTATGTGGCCCTGGCTGTGACCAAGTGGTGAAGGTGGTTCAAGAGAGACTCAGGTTTGGAAAGTCCTTCGCTAGGCGCCCTTGAAAATGGGCTGGTTTCAAAGCCACACCAAGAAGAGCTTTTCAGATGAAGAGGGAAATCCAGGAGGCAAGGCTGATAGAGGTGACCTCAGCCTTCACACTCAACTATCGGATGTAGTTTCAAGAGGGAAAGTCAGAATGGGCTCCAGAAAGAACATTCCTCCAGCAAGGAGGAGGGAGGAAGGTCTGGGGACAAGTGAGGAACAGAGCCAGGGGAGTGGAAAGGTAAGACCCAAATGCCATGGACGTGGCTGTTGGGGAAGGTGAGGACTGGGTTCCTCCGTGTGGAGGATGAGATGGCCACCCGCGCCCCGCCCCC